GCTGCTGCTGGTGTCTGGCCCCGCTGAGCAGCAGCCTCAAGGCGCCGCCAGCCAATTGTCTTTCTCTCCTCAGTGCCTAGTCTTTCAAACCCTAAACCCTAAACCCTCAACTTAGTCCTCAGCCCAGAGGAACCCCTTAAAGCGGCAGCCCAGGAGCCCCTGTTGCTTAAACGAAAACCCCTAAACCCTAAACCCTTTGCCGTAAACCCTAAACCCTAATTTGGAGCCCGACGTTGCTTGAGGGTTTGCTTGAGGGTTTGGACGAGAGTTGATGAAGGGCTGCCATTAGAGTATTGGGGCCGAGGGTTTGGCGTCCAGGTTTAGGGTTTAGGGTTTAGGGTTTAGAGTTTAGGGTTTTCGCAGATCCTACAGTCCCCCCTCATGGAGCCCCGCATTTTGTTTTTGCTGCTGAACATCATCGCCATGGCCTTGCTGCTTGTCTTGAGAGCAGTGCTGCAGGTGAAAATTAGGGTTTAGGGTTTAGGGTTTAGGGTTTAGGGATTGCAGTTTAGGGTTTAGGGTTTTGTTTCTCCTATCCAGCCACTAGAGGGCAGTGACAGCGAGCGCCTTCTCTGGTCTGGGGACTAATCGTACGGTTTAGGGTTTAGGGTTTAGGGTTTAGGTTTAGGGTTTAGGGTTTAGGGTTTGCGAGTTCAGGCGCTGAGGAGAGAAAGAGGGCTGACTGATGGGGCCTTTGAGGCTGCTGCTCAGCAGGGCCAAGGGCCAGCAGCAGCAGCAAGACAGCAGCAGCAGCAGCAGCAACAGCAGCAGCAGCAGCAACAGCAGCAACAGCAGCAGCAGCAGTCGCAGCGAGAAATGCAGGAACCGAAGCAGCAGCCGCAACAGCAACAGCAACAGCAGCACACGGAGCAGCAGCAGCAGCAGCACGAGCAGGACAAAGAGACGGATCCTTCTGCTGCATCGCTTAGCAGCAGCAGCAGCAGCAACACCAGCAGCAGCAGCAGCACCAGCAGCAGGACCAGCGCCAAAGATACGGCTGGAAATGCGAGTGGCCCTGCGGACAGCAGCAGCAGCAGCAACAGCGGCAGCAACAACATCAGCAACAGCAACAGCAGCAGCAACAGCAGCAACAGCAGCAGCAGCGACAGCAGCAGCAACAGCAGCGAAGCTAACAGCAGCAGCGCGAGCATCAGCAGCAGCAACAACAATGACAGTAGCATCGGCTTCCCCGTCAACAACAGCAACAACAGCAGCAGCAACAGCAGCAGCAGCAGCAGCAGCAGCCCAAGTGATGCGCAGGGGCCCCCAGCTGACCCCACATTTTGCCTGCAGCAGGATAGGGCTCCTCCTGCTTCCAGCTAGCTGTTTCTAAGAAAAGAGAAAAAGCAAATGGCAAGCTAGCTCAACTCCACAGCTAGCCAGCTAGCTAGCTAGCTAGCCAGCTAGCTACCCCAGCTAGCTAGCTGGCCAATTAGCCAGATAGCTGGCTAGCTAGCTGCCCTAGCTAGCTAGCTAGCTGTCCTAGGTAGCTAGCTAGCTAGCTACTTAGCCGACAAGCTTGTTTGTCTCCCCAGCTAGCTGGCCAGCTAGCCAGCTAGCTACTTAGCACCCTAGGCGGTCCTTTATCTTCTGTAGCTGGCTAGCTAACTGCCTGGCTGGCTAGCTAGCTAGCTGGCTAGCCGCCAGGCCAGCTAGCTAGCTAGCTAGCTGGCTAGCTAGCCGCCCCTCGGTGCGGCTAGCTCTCCAGGCAGCAGACTTTTCAGACCGCAAAATGACGAACTAGCCAGCTAGCTAGCTAGCTGGCCAGCTAGCTGGCAGTTAGCTAGCTAGCAGCTAGCCAGCAGCTGGCTAGCAGCTAGCTAGCTAGCTAGCTCGGAGGCGTCTGGCCGCTGCGGTAGAGCCTTCCGTAGCTGCCTGGACTTTGTATAGAACTCCTGAGAGTTTGTATGCATTCCAGGGTTTGGGGTTTAGGGTTTAGGGTTTGGGGTTTGGGGTGAGGTACCTAGGGTCTAGAGTTTATTACGGTTGAAGGCTGGGGGTCCAGTGTCTAGGGCCTAGGGTTTAGGGTTTAGGGTTGGGGGGTTCAGGAGGTGCCCGCTGTTTAATTGCATTTAAATTTGCAGAGAGAAAAATGTATATAAATAACATATAATTAATGAACAAACAAATAAATAAACAAATAATATAAATTGAACTTTTCAATGAAATAAGTTGTTCATTGCTGCGGGGAGCCACATGAGGCCTGGTGCTGCTGCCGGGGCGTGCATGCAGGGGGGAACCAAATGGAGCAAAAAAGCGGCAAAAAAGAAATTAAATGAAATTAAATGAGAAATAATTAAGCATTAAGTCCAAAATGAATTAAACAAACGTGGAAGAGCGTTTAAAATGGCAGCAGCAGCTCACGTGGACACTAGGAGCAGCACGCGTGATCGATCGAGGTGTACATACACCTGGAGCGCCAGCCCATCTTCAAGGCCGCTCGATCTGTTTTGGCTTCTTTAGTTAATTGAATTCATTTATTTAACTTTATTTGTAAATTATTAGACTTTTCCGGCAGATTGAGCCGCTAAGGTTCCTGCTGCTGCCCCAGGAGCTGCTGCTGCTCCCGCTGCTGCAGCCACAGCAGCAGCAGCAGCAGCAGGACCCCGGATCTGGGCTTCCCCTCCATCTTTAAAGTTAATTATTCCTTCCACTTCCAACAGGTTTATTTTCTTTTTTGCAGCGATGGCAGCAGCAGCCGCAGCAGAAGGAGCAGCAAGATCAGCGAGAGCAGCAGGATCTGCTGCTGCTTCTGCTGCTGGTCCTGCTGCTGCTCCTCGCCGGCCCTGCCGCCGGTTCTCTCCTCGCCTGTGCGTGGCCTTGTTCTGCCTCATCTGCAGCAGCAGCAGCAGCAGCAGCAGGATTGGCGCACTGGGAGCAGCAGCAGCAGCGGTGTCGGTTGCTGCTGCGGATTCGCCGCCTGTGCCAGTGGTAATTGGGGAAGTTGAGGCAGCCCCTCCTGGGGGCGCCCCCGGG